AAATAATATATTGAATTTAATTAAAAAAATAAATATCATTCTATCAATTTAGTATACAAATTATTGTACCAAATTACTGTTAAATTTTTTTTAATTAATTAATTTTTTATTTTATAAATCATAAATATTATTAAGTTTAATAATATCTTTAGATATAATCTATGTCGTTTCTACAATACCAATATCTTATATAATTCTTTTATAGGATCCATACAATTTGAAAGCTATAAAACATGGCGTTGGTACCTATGATAAACCCACTTTAGTACCATCTGCCTTTGGAGCAAGAATTATTGGCTGTGTATGTGAAGAAGATGCATCTTATGTCAAATGGATGTGACTACATTCAGGAGAACCAAAACGTTACTGTGGTCATTGGTATAAATTAGTTTTCAAGGAAGCACTTGTTTAAAAATACATGTTTGTTAACAAACATAATATGTTTAGTCCTGTTCCAAATGAAATATTTTTTGTCTGTTAAATTGTTTTGTTATTAAAAGTCTATCTTTGGAATCAGTAACATTTAATTATTATAAAATTGTTTAGCTTATGTAAGGCTCATGAAAAATAAAATGTTAAAACTATATATTTTAGAATTTTAAGGATTGTATATATTGTAATTTCTCAAACACTGTCACTTGCTATTTTGCTAAAATGATAAATTATAATTATAATTTTAAATTTAATATATTTATTTTATTGAATACATCTGTGAGGTAATTATGTTCTATGTGAAAAACAAACCGACATTTTCAGTTTGAAATTGTTGCTACACTTGTTTTTTAGCAAACTGTTTTGTGTAGATTTTACATTTTTTACTTAGGTAGGCTTAGAATATATTTTCAACTTAAAACAACTAAATTTTATAAATATAAATATAATTTTAATTTATTAATGACGTTGAGTATAATTACAAATTAAGTATATTACATGTATTTATTTTAGTAAAATAATTTGGTGTAATATATTGAACTTAAGATTAAAATACTATCTTAACCTATTACTATTGAAAAAGGTGTAAATTATAATTTTATTATTCAAATTGTTTCAGTATGCTATTAGTTAAATTATTGAGTTTGACTGTTTGTTGACTTTTCTCTTGATGAATTTGTGAGGATGTTTTAACATTGATAGATGTTTTACTAAGATTGATGCTATTATCTGTTTTCTCTATTTCCTGAAAAGTAAAATGATAACTTTATGATAGTTTAATTTTCAACCAAATTTTTAATTTTTGTGTTTGTTTTAAATATTTCTTAAAAACTACCTATTCATTTATTATTTTTAAGATTTGGAGCACAGCTTTATGAATACTATACAATGTACTATGATGTATGAAGTTTTTTTACAATGTAAACTGTTAAGAAAAAATACACAAACTATCTTTTTGAGAGAGGTTATTGATAGACAATTGGGGATTCAAAATTAGAAGTTTTCTATTACTATTTGAAATAATTTACATAATTTTTCAGTTTTAAAATTATTATTCATATAATTTTTTGAAGAGAATGGTCACCAAAATGTACGAGATACACTCATTATCTATTAGCTATTGAACAGCATARTGGATAACTACTTAGTGGCTTTTTCATATAATAACATTTAATTAAATAGTAAAATATTTGAATTTATGAAATACTAATTGAGTATATTATAATAAACGATAAAGTATAGTTATAATGTGGAAAACACTCAAAAATTTTAATTACCTACTTAAGTACTCTAAATAAATAATACATACCATTAAATCAACACTGACTTCATTTTTTTTTTCATTTCTCATCAAATATGCAAAAGGATTACTGGTAGCAGTAGCTGTGATTGTACTCAATGACTTCATTTCTTTCTTTTCTTCATATTGCTTAGAGCTTGTTCCATCATTATTAGTTATTTTTTTATTAGCGAACAATAATGCGTTAGTCAACTTGTCACTAGAACGTTTCATGAATGACCCTTTTATACATTTAATATGCTGGAAAATACCAATGATTTATAGAAAACAACTACTAACATTAATGTATATGTAACAGACTACAATATATTATATTTTAAATTGCAATATTTTATATTTCAAACATGACATATATTATTAATAAATAGATCTTACTTTTGATGCGAGTACATTCACAATTTGGGGGTCAACAAAATTATTGGTTGTTATTTTATTTGTTTTTGTTGTATCATTTGAATTTGTATTTAAAGTTTGACTATTAGGATCAGATTCATCAATAATTTTATTTAACTGTGTTGATTCATTTATTTTTTCAGTATCAGATGTCTTTGATATTAACATACTTTTTCCATTTTTATACTTAACCTATAATAAAATAATTTAAATAAATATATTATTGATTAATTATTAATACATAGATTCAAGAGAGGGCCACATTACTAAATAGCATCRAATAATTTGAAATTATGGTGGCCCATCTTATATGGAGATGAAAAAAAATATGGTATAAGTAAACATAACATACAACATGAGTTTTTTTCACAATTGATACAGATGTTTGTAAAATATTTCTTGATTCTTCATCTTCACAGCTTTCATCCTCATCAGAATATTTATTTTTCTAAAAAATATAAAAAAAGGTTAAGTGGTCAATATATAATATGCATTATAAATATATGTAAGTGTACAACCACTTAATCAGCAAATAAAAATTATAAATAAACTGATCAACATTTKTTTATATATATATACAGGCATAACATTGAATTAGTTATTGTTGATATAATATATTATTATTTGAATGAATAATATTATGAATCATTAAAAATTGAAACTATTACATTTAAAGATCAATATTGTGATTTGATCCAACCAATAGTATCAAAATATATTTTATTATTATGTGTATATATTATCAACACATCAATAGTATAGTGCAGTACAGATTTTGATTTTAGATATGCATTCAGAATGAAAGTTTATAAAAAAATGTAACAAAACTAACAAGAATAAATAAAAATATATATATATATTTTACAATTTTTGTAAATGACAACAATTGTAAAAAATATTAATATTTGACAAATCATTAGTTAGATGCATTACAAAAAAAAAAAATTAATACACAAAACCAACATCAAATTTTCAATAAATTATCTATATAACAAATATCATGTAATTATGTTCATCAGTGGTGAACTATGAAAATAACACTTAACCTATTTTAATGAAATTGTGTAAACATCTCTTGTTTGTTCCAACCTGATAGATTGTGATCTCAATAAGTGGTCCTTAGATTTTTTTTTTTATTATAAATTTATAAAAGGGCTTAAAGATTTAAAATGGTTGCTATTGGTTAATGCTTACAGATTATACTAGTAATGGCCAAAAGGAAAAATTAGTATTTTCTGATATTGGTTACTTGGGCAGATGAGATAAGCGCATGCATAAAATCATACATCAAAAATCTATATGACACTACATTTTATCATTTTGTCACAGGCAAAGTCTGATTAAATAGCTAAAAATGGATGATTGGTTTATTTTAAGTAAATATATTCAAAACTACAATAGATTATTTATATAAAAAAAAGATATACAAATAAATTCCTTGAGATATGGAAAGTGTATTATCTTGTTTTCAAACTCCTATAGGTAGCTTAATARTATGGATCAGGGCTCACATATTGGCAAAATATTATACTACTATATTAAAATTAGTATGAATATTATATTAAAAATATATTTATAAAAAAAAACTAATCGTTAGCACAGAAATGCCAGGCAAGATAGCTAGTAAATAATATAATATAATATTGTTATGTTTTTTGAGGATGAGAGGTACTCCTATAATTTAACATTTGTATAAATCAGTTTCACCATTATTTTTATGTGTTAAAAGTTGCTCGCGTAACCTATAGTAGAAGCTGTATTGTGAAGAAATCCAATCAGATRTTTTTCATATCGGGAAGGTACAATTAAGTACAGAAAGGTGATTTTTTGATTCGTATACTGAACTAATATCAAATTTTGCATTGCAAGTATATTTATTGGGCAGAGTTTTGATCAAATTTTACCCAAACAAACAATTTATAAGTAACAACAGGAGCACTAATCTTAGAGCGAAAATAATGCACAGACACTCATCAAACATTAATCAAATGCCTTACCCACATAATGGATAAAACTGTACAGTATTGATATATAAGATGTACCAGGATGTATCAAATCACTGTAAATAAATGTATATTTTAATATTTAGATATATATTATATTGTTACTTCTGATAGATAAGATTCACGCTTGAAACGTTCATTTCTCCAATGTTCCGTTTTTTCCTCATCACTTAAAACATCATCCTCATTATCATCTTCATTGTCTGAGAATAACGGTCTCTTTAGAGCAACATCATTTTGATCTGTATAGGAAATACAAATATTAAGTTTAAAGCAAATATAAAAATAAATTAAAATCTAACCAGCATCATCCCACTGAAATTTTCTTTTTCTGTTGGATTCTGAATATAATTCACCATCTTCAAGAAGCATTTCTTTAAGTGCAGTTACTTGCTGTTTATCATCGTCTAAAAGCTGGCGCCTAAATCCAGTTTAAAAATATTAATTTAAACCAAATTATTACAAATAAATGTCTAAACATACATATATATCTTGTCTAATCCATCCTTAACAAGGTTTTCATCCAGCTTATCTTTGTCCCCTTCTTCTTCTTCCAGTTTGTCATTTAAACCAACTAATCTATCTTCATCATCAGAACTCCAGTCTGATTCAGATAATTCAGCTTCATCATCAAAAAAATCTTTAGCTGAAACTAGTTTGAGAGACACATTATCATCATCGTCTTCATTTGTAATATTGGCATGGCCATTTTGAGAACTAAAACAATAAATATTACTTTTAAATTATGTTTAAAAATAAGTTATAAATATTTAACTAACACTTCGTCATTAAAAAGGTCTTTAGCTGAAACTAGTTTGAGAGACACATTATCATCATCAGCATCATCTTCATTTGTTATACTATAAGTGTCATTTTGAGTACTAAAACAATAAATATTACTTTTATATTATATTTACAAATAAGAAATAAATATTTAACTTACACTTCATCATCAAAAAAGTCTTTAGCTGAAACTAGTTTGAGAGATACATCATCATCAGCATCATTTTCATTTGTAACACTGTCAGTATCATTCTGTGCACTAGAATGACAAACATTAGTCACATATTATATTAATTAAAAAATAAGCCATAAATAATTTAACTTACACTTCAGAATCAAAATTATCTTCAAAATTATCTTCAAAATCATCTACTTCTTGATTATTATCTCCCTGTAAATATAAAACATAAATTTATCAAGTGACATAAAACATTAAGTTTTGTATTGCTAAAACCTTAGCATCCGATTGTTGGGATTGAAATTGTCCAGAACAAAAACCCATCAGTTGTTGTGTAGAGACAATAGCTTCAGAATCATTGAATAAAGGTGATAAATTATTTGTTATTAGCTGAATATCTGTGTTTAAATGATCTTCATCTTTATTGTTCATATCATCGTCACTGCTTTCTGATAATAAAACTAATCTACGTTTCTTTTTCTTAGAAAATTCAATTTCACAGTCTAAAATAAATATTTTACAAGATAATAAAACCGTTAATAAATTTTCATTTTTTTTTAGATATTTATTTGTATTACCTTCGTCGTCTTCTTCTTCATCAATAAAATTATTAGGTCGATTGYCTTCATCATCTGAACTACAATCTAATTCAGACAACTCCGCTTCATCATCAATGAATGTCTTAGCTACATTTCTTTTTAATTGGTCTTCAGTGTCTATAATGTTATTAAGATTGAAAATTATGTACTTACTTATTAGATTCTAATTATTTTCTAAGTTTCCATTACCTTTCTGAAATCAACAAAAAAATAGCATATTAATTTAATTAAAGAAAGTAAAATATTTATAAATACATACCTCTGTTTCATCTTCAAAAAGATGTTTTTCTGTATTCAAGCTTTTCTCTTGCCTAGAATTGTCATCATCATCATCATCATCCGCAGTAACAGTATCTTCATCATCATCATCATCAATTGTTTCATCTTCAGATGATAATTCACTTGCTATATTTGAATTGGTGTCAACGTTTTCTTCATCATCATTAAACTCAAATAAACTATTGTTATGGTTCTCATTAAGAGAAATTTCTGTGTAGCACAACAAATAAGTACTATTAAAAACATTAAAGTTATACATTTAAACTTTAAAGTGTGTTTTTTTCTTAAGAAACTAGCAAGTATAGCTAAAAATATAGATAGAATYGCAACTTTTTAATATACAGGTGTCATGTCCTACATTGGCAGTGTATATTAACACATTGATTTATTGGTTAACAAAATTATACAAATTATTAATTCTATGACTAAATAAATTTAAAAATTACTGCCAACTGAGATTCTTTTAAATGCTAAATTATGCAATAATAGTACATGCACAAACCATAGCAAAAATGAGTCTCAATAAGATCATATCTTTATATTTAGCTATACTAGTAAGTGTGTATATTTAATAGATTAATTTGGTAATTTAAATTTAATAGGTTATTAAGCTTATTATTAATAAGTATTACATACGAATAATTCAATTTGGTTTCAAACCTTTATCATAGTTTTTATCATTTAAAGAAAAATTATTTTCTGCTTGAGTATTACTAGTATCCAAAGATACTTCTCTGTTGTTTTCTTCTTGGACACTCTCTTCATTGTAAAATTTTTCAACAGTTTGTTCTTTATTTTCAATTAATTCCCTAAATGTATATACATAACTAAATTAGTGAATAATAATAAAATACAATATTTGCTATATTATATTATTATGTTATTACTTATTACAAACTAATAGGTCATAGAAAATGGTTATGTACCTACCTATACAGAGTGTCCCAAAGAGATCTGACATTYTGACAAACGAAATAACTTTTGTTCTAATCAATATTTAAAAAAAAGATTCTTTTAAATATAATCCATAGACACCTGCGCTACATTTTTAGAATATATTTTTTATTTTTATTTTTTAATACTGAAAATAAAAAACTTAAAAATTGATAAATTTTTTTTTCGAAATATTCAATATAGCCAATTTTACTAAATTTGATTTTCAGAAAAAATTTATATGATAAAAACACTTATTGAAGTCAAAAGGCTGATTTTTTACAATTTTTTTAAATATCAATATTTTTGTTAGGTAAATTATAATAATTTATAGTTTATACATCACATATTATTAAAATATAAATACAATAAAAAAAATAATTAGATTTTAACATGCACTTATTTAAAAATGTTCTTATAAAATATTTTTAAAAAACTTTATTATATTTGAAATTACAAGGTTTCTAACATAAACTAGATCATAATTTACTTAATGAAAATATTGATATTTAAAAAAATTTTAAAAAATCAGTCATTTGACTTAAATAAGTGTTTTTACCATATAAATTTTTCTAAAAATCAGATTTACAAATTGGCTATATTGAATATTTCAAAAAAAATTTTTATCAATTTTTAAGTTTTTTATTTTCAGTATTAAAAAATAAAAAATAAAAATGTATTCTAAAAATGTAGCGCAAGTGTCTATGAATTATATTTAAAAGAAATTTTTTTAAAATATTGATTAGAACAAAAGTTATTTCATTTGTCAGAATGTCAGATCTCTGTGGGATACCCTGTATATTATTATATTTAATATTAAAATTACTTAAGAATGTTTTTAAGTCTAGCCTCATGTATTAAACAAAAGGTAAAATGAATATCCGATTAATGAAGTTAAACTAATAAAAATTATTTAAATCTTAGAAATTTATAAATAGTAATTTATATAATAAACTCTATAAATATATAATTTATTCTCGAATAGTGATTATTAGCTGAGTAAACATGTTCACAACCATGTATCATGATAATGATATCATAGTTAACTATATCAATAGGTACCATTAATCAATAACTTAAAAATAGATTTTGAAATATAACACTAGATTAAAATAATCATAATTTTTATAATCCTGCCTAATGACTTAACTATAACACAGTTGTTATGTTCACTCAATAAAAAATGCCCTTCATTAGCTATTAAAAACATTTCATAGTGAGAAATAGTTAATATAATATATGTAAATATATATATATACAGGGTGATTCTTTTATCAAACAATACTCATTATTTAAAAAAGTATTGACTTTTTTCAAAATTTTTTTTTCTTCAAAATTGTAGATTTACACTCTTCTTGAATTGTTTATTTTTTTTATATTTTTCACCCTTATATTTATTAGATAAACCACTATCAACTTTTGATTTTCAAATGGTAACCTATACTTAAARTTTCATAAATTATTAAAACTATTTTTTTTTTATTAATTATTACGTTAAAATTTCGAATTTAGCGCTAATAGTTTAAGAGTTACAGGTATTTAAAGTTTAGATTGGCAGAGTGGAGTGGTACGGGGTTACCCCGCTAAATGTTTGTCCACTACTCCGCTTGTCTAAACCTTTAAATACTTATAACTCATAAATTACTCGTCCTAAATTCGATTTTTATGTATCGAAATTTTTAGAAAAATATTCTGCTTTGGAATATGAAATTAAAAAACTATGTTGCCATTCAAAAAAGTAAAAAACTTAAAAAATGTTGAGGATGAAAAATATTTAAAAATATAATTTTTTAATAAACGTGTTGGTTTTTTAACAACTTGAAACTATGTAAAAAAATATTTTGAAAATAGTCAATACTTTTTTAAATAATGAGTGTTGTCTGATAAAAGGATCACCCTGTATATATAATATATTAACACTAAATTAAATGGTATATAATATGTTTTAGAAGTAGTGGATGTACATTTTTCTAAATACTTTATATGTTTATTATTTATTAAACTCAAAATTTTTAATAATACTTGCCATGCTTTATGCAGTAATTTTTTGGAACCTGTTAAAGATGCTTGATACTCAGTTGATTGTTTCTGTCTGTTAAGAAAGTCTTTTAATGACTTTTGTTTTGGTTTATGATATGGTAAACGCACATGACTATCACTAACTAGTCGTTGAGTTTCTCTGCTTATTTCATCTATATTTGTCTTACTATTATTTGAAGATTTCTAAAAATTAAAAATATATTTATAATTTATATTGGGCAATTCACATTTATTTTTTATTATTTTAATTTATTAACTTTAATATTAGTGATATAATCTATTATCAAATTTAAAAGTAAATCTAAAACATAGGTTAATTTAATCAAATATTGCCAATATTGGAACTATCAAAACTTGACAAGATTAAAATTTGTAATTACACATTTCTAAGGACAATAAAACAAGTGTTAGTATGAATGTAGCATATTCTTAAAAAATATTAACTTTTAGGTATACAAGGATAAATTATTTTTTAACAAATAAGTCATGACATAAATATACTAGGGATTAACTTTTTACMATCGTGATTAACACATTTTTTGATTGAAATATAAAAATAGGTTCTAAAACAAAACTTATCATAACATGGCCTTCAAATTTCAAAATTACTAATATTATTTCAGTATACCTATTTCTTAAGAATCCAGTAAAAATTAGTCAATAACCAGTTTTTTCAGCCTATAACTAATGAACAGTTTTAGACAAGTCCCTGCCCTTTGATTTCTATATTAAAAACTGTTATTCCATCAATATTGTTATCACTATATAAAATCACCACATGATGTTTKATTTTCCTGTCAATTATTAGTCATCACTCAGTAATGTTTTTTCATACATCACATGATTAATAATATTCTCAACACCTAAGTATCTGTCAATAAAAATGATTTTGTCATGGCCGTAACACAAATATTTAGAATAATTATTATCAAATATTATAATTTAGTTAAATACATTTTATTTTGGTATATCACTAATTATTTTAGAATCAACAATTTTTTTTTATATATTATATTTTACATAAATATTATGGTTCATCAACCTCCTATAAGCACAAGCTAGTGATGGAGGTTGAGAGTTATGTATAATGCTTATATGAATAACTTTTAAGTGTATAATATAATTTTAAAAATCGACAACTAAACATTAATTATATAAATAGTACATAAATGTATGTATAATTAATTATAAATACATTTACAACTATAAGAATGACTAATACACATTGTAGAGTTAGATTAAAGGTATTTTTTGTCATTAAGATTTAGAGAATTGAACACTTATACCATCTTTTGGATAATTTATTTTAGATCATAGGCTTAAGTTTCTCATTTATTAAAATACTAGCTGAACCCGTGCACTTCGTAGCCTGTCCTACCTCTTATATATCTCAAACTTWATGTTAAATTTGTTTCCTGTGATTATGCTAGCAGTAAATTTTTATACATATAGATAGATAATTGTTAAAATATACTAGGTAATAATCGTACAGCAATATTCAATTTAGTTTATCATTATGTATATTTATTAATTTTATGATGAAAAGTGTGACAATTCAAATATTGGCTGTCATATAGTATGCGGTCTACCTCTGGTTTTTACATAGTCATTACTAGGCTAAGTTTATTTTTAATAGATACACTTTAATCTTTTTCTATCTTTTGGATACACTTTATCTTAATATAATATATCTTAATATACAATACTGTAATTGTAATTATACCAAATTTCATTGTAATTGGTCCACCAATTGAAATTCAGATACATAAAGGATAAATAGACAGAAATCTATTTATATATATATGTTTATCCTATATACATTTCAAAACCGGTGGACCGATTGCGACAAAATTTTGTATAGAGATAAGGGCAGAAGGCTAAGTTAAAAAGTGACAGGCCTAATTATCATTCATAATTTCTTTGCTTSATTGTTTCTGAAGCTCATATTGCCATTTTCTTTCATGCTCAAGGCGTACAACTACCAATTGATCTTTTTTTGGGAGGCATAATTTAAGAGGTAGAATTTTTTACGGACTATGAAGTGCACAATTAAAAATAATTCACACTGCTTATTATAAATCTAGCATGAAATTCAAATATCTGGAGAGATCAAATTTCCTTAGTTAACAGAAAAAGTTGTACAGATAAATTTGAAATACCACACATCAACAAAAAACGATTTGTACATTTACCTCGTCTCACCTTGTAATGAATACACTAACATAATATTGACTGCGTGTATACTAATATCATAATAAATACAGAATGTATGTATGCTTACCATTATTGTGAATTGTAAATTACAGTTTAATAGATCGAAAACCAATATAGTTGAAAATCAATAATTCGAAAATTTTAAATACAGTTCAAACACAATACACATACTACCTACGCGGATAGTGTGTACTACATAAATATTGAATATTTAAATAATCGTCATCAGTAATCGCATAGGAATTTGGTAGAGTGCAAGTAGTTGWGGAGGTCTAACAAAGTGAAAAAACTAAATAATTAATAATTAAAATAATTAAATTAATAATATTTCGACTATAGTTATCTTATATTGTTATCGCTATTTTCGATATTTTGGCGGGCAAAGAACAACGAGTGACGATGAGAATATGATAAGACCGAGCAGTGTGGGCATCGCGTATTCATGTACRTTATTTTGTTCATAATCATACATTTTCTTTTACCTCCAAAATAATAAAAACGTAGGTTGGTACCTAATATAAATTATTGTAGTAACAAATCACAATTTTACAAAAACAATAGTTGAATAGGTAAGTGCATAGGAATCATAATTCCCCCGTGTGTTTAATTTCAGTCGTTAACCACACATAAGTTCAGTTAATACCTAGGTGGGTACAAAATATAATCGCGATGTCAAACCAAAACTTTGTAGCCACCTAGTTAGCTAGTAATACGCACCTATATAACACTGACCTATTTTCATTTGTCGTGTTATGATTTATGAACACCATGCAATCACTTTCCGGTTCCCTCGGTTTGGAAGGTTAAAAGCCATATTAAGACTACGGAAAATTACAATAGGTACAAGTTGTAAAAACCGAAAAATCCATCGATATTATTACATCAAATTAACATTAAACAATTTATTATATTTTAATGAACCAATGTRCCTAAAACATATATTTTTAGATAATTAAAATTGAAATTAGATAAGTACCTACACCTATAAAGAATTTATTGTTTCTATAGGATGCTATTAGTGTTGTCTCCGTGCTCAGTCTTAAAAAGGCCAACAACATTGCAATAACTGTATTGCGCGACACAACCATACTCCCTCTTGCCTCTACATTCAAATGTACCGATCCATTGATAAATAGTTTATTTTTTTCAATCATATTCTATATCTATCGGTTTGAAAGTAAATCACGTAATATATTTTACCATAATTGATTATGATTATAGCTAATATACACTAACATAAATAAATATTTGATTATAACCGTTTTTATCGGTTGTTGCCGAGAAGCAACACTATATGCATTATGYATATAGGGTTAATGTTTCTAGTAAAATCAACAAAATTCCACAACGCATAGAGAAGAATTTAATTTATGTTATAGAGTTTTTATTTTTTTGGTTTAACAAGATAGTGACTATGTGGCTCACTAGCCAATATTTTTTAACAGTTTAATTTTTTTTTTAAAAACCTAATGGTATCGAACCGATAATTGTATTTATGTTATCCAAACAATAAAAATGTAAACGTACAATGCTGATAAAGTTCTTTCATGTGTGGTGTAGAATTTTGGTAATTATATTATAAATACGCTGGAAGTACTTACCTTAGATGTTGATCCGAGAAAAAGTAGTTTTTGATATGCTCATTTATAAGACGTTCTGTCGTTCTCTGTAAGACCAACATGTAAAATTATTTGTAAATATTTATTTATCAATACGACAATCGGCAGTCAGTATTTCGATATATTGRCAGTATAATAATAGTTACGTATCAAATACCTACATTTGCACATATTATTATATGTACCTATATGGTCGGGGATTGTCCCATACGAGACACAGCAATATTATATTAAAATGTTTATAATAGGTATACATGATTCTAATAATAAACACATATATTTTACATCAACACAATTTAATAATATGTTCAATTTTATATGATTTATATAAATTCTTCGAAAGAAATGCAATTTATCTAAAGGTTTACAGTGGCGTAATTACGGGGGGGGGCGGGATTTGGGTGTCGTATCCCCCCATGACCTTTTTTTTAAGACTGGTTAACTACATTCACCTATGTACTTCTTTATTTAATAATATTATTATTATTTGTTTTTATATTTATATATATTGAATCAAATACCTCGGCGAATTAATATTATTATAATAATCCATTTTATACTTTATAGAAATAATACAAAGAAAAACAAATCCTTTTTGCTAGTTGTACATAAATACTTCGTAGGTACCTAGTTCGTTTAAATGCAGCCACGCAAGTTTATAAGTATCACTATTGCAATATGTTTTGTGTATGTTTTGAGCTTGTTTATGCATTGTGTAGTGGTACAAAAATAAACCACCGAGCAGTAAAATATTATTTTATCGTGGATCGACGACGCTCGACGATTATCAGATTATTTTATCTAGATTAAAGACTATTGTCATATCTAACCTAACCTAACCCAACCTACTATTTTTCCGTAGCCCTATTGAACTAAAAATAACCTATCGATTTGTACACTTAATCGGAATTTATCGGTGATATACGATTGCGTACGTTTTTCCCTTTTAGTAGAACGATTGCGTACGTTTGTACTATTGCGTACGATTTCTCTACCTATACCTTAAAATATTACGATTGTGTATGAAAATGAGAGCAACGTTGCCAACATGTACTTACTACTTATTATAATATAATTTAAAAACCATTATTATAGTCAATAAATACAACAAATATAAGTTATAAATTAAAAACGTTGGTTCTWATCAATAAGCAGTCCCTGATAAAAAATTTAAATAATAATAATATAATTTAAAAAAACTAAAAACATTAAGTCAAATAAATACAAATCATAAGTTATAAATTAAAACCTTGGTATTGATAACTAGTTTATCTATTTAAAAATTATTGTATGTAACTATATGTATGTATTTTAGTTAAATAATGTGAGTAAGTAATTTATTAAATACTTACAAAACGCCACCAAGATTGACTTAAATGGAAACGRCATCCAGTAAGTTTTACATTCGGAAAAACTTCCCTCACAGCTTCGTGTGCTCCTATTTCAAAGTCGATGTGTAATTTGCATATATTAAGTGTTTGAGATGTGTGTTGCAAATATAATTCTTTAATAAATTTCCACATTTCGATATATGTTTGCTTAAATTTATCTTTCAAAAATATAAATATAACTGGTAAATAAAAACCATTTTTAAACAGTGAACAGTATACAYTTGCATAAAAAAATTAGGTGCGCATTGAAATGTGCCATCTGAAAAATATTCTGTGCAAGAACTCATAAAATTTAAATTGTCTTCAGTCGTGATACAGATAAACGATTTATTCATCGGAATGTGGATAAAATTTTTATTATTAAATTTAAAAATATCATCGTTTTGCATTTYCCAAATTTTATCTATGGCTTCATCGAAAGATCTTGGATATGTAGGAAAATGTTTCCGTCTTGCCATATACATAGCTTTTCGAACAGAAGAAATATCTTTATGTACAATATCTGTACCTAAATTTGTCAGTAATTCTTTTCGTATAATTTTGCTTGGTCRAGTTGAAATTGAATCGCTGGCTTTTCGTTTGCAATTTTCTCTGAGCACTTGACGATCAATAATTTGAGGTGTTATTGCATTATGCTTGTGCTCACCAATTACTGCATTCACTTGAGTTTTTGTGACATCA